AGTCTCTAGGCTTCATTAAAAAAAAAGAGCTGCCTGACTCCATCTCAGCGCATTCCGTTAGACACTCACCTGGACGCATCTCGCACAAACCAATGCTGGCGCTAAGACTGTACTCAACAAGCTGTATAGGGCCATTAGCAAACAAGAAAATGCTCATCCGGAGAAGGAGCTCCTAGTAGCATGTGATTTTAATGCAGGAAAACTGAAATCCATTTTACATCATTTCTACCAGCATGTCACCAATGCAACTGGAAGAAAACAAACTCTTGATCACCTTTACTCAACACACAGAGATGCATACAAAGCTCTCCCTTGCCCTCCATTTGGCAAATCTGATCATAACTATATCTTCCTGATTCCTGCTTACAAGCTACAAACTCAAACAGGAAGTACCAGTGATGCACTCAATATGGAAGTGGTCAGATGAAGCAGATGCTAAGCTACAGGACTGTTTTGCTAGCACAGACTGAAATATGTTCCTGGATTCATCCAATGGCATTGAAGAGATTACCACATCAGTCACTGGCTTCATTAATAAGTATATTGACGACGTCGTCCCCACGGTGACAGTAAGATTGTAGGTAGTTTATCCAAATACGTTTCATGAATATCACAATGACGAACCAGAAGCTGAAGTCAACACTTTATTGGTTTCTGATGCAGCTGGAATCATTTAGTCACTTGTCAGTACATTTGTAAAAAAAATAATGATATAAAACATATTATCAAACACCATTATATACATATCTACAAGAGCTATCAATATCTACACCAGAATGCAGTTGTGAGCAGTTAATAAATTGGGATTCGCGAGGTAAACAATATATACTGAGAAAAGCACATAACGGAGGGACCTACAATTGTGGGGGGGAGAACGACTGTGAGAAGGTCAGTACTGGTGACTTTTTAAAAGGACATTCTACTCCAAAATTAATGAAAATAGCATGATGCTGACATCTAAAATATACTGAACAAAAATATAAATGCAACATGCAACAATTTCAAAGATTTTACTGAGTTACAGTTCATATAAGGAAATCAGTCAATTTAAATAAATTCATTAGGCCCTAATATATGGATTTCACATGACTGGGAATACAGATATGCATCTGTTGGTCACAGATACCTTTAAAAAACTGTCCGTATCTGGTGTGACCACTATTTGAAACATGAGGTGATGGTGGCAGATGAATGGCATGACAATGGGCCTCAGGATCTCATCACGGTATCTCTGTGTATTCAAATTGCCATAGATAATATGCAATTGTGTTCGTTGTCCGTAGCTTATACCTGCCAATTGCACGCTCCCTCAAAACTTGAGACATCAGTGGCATTGTGTTGTGTGACAAAACTGCGCATTTTAGAGTGGCCTTTTATTGTCCTCAGCACAAGCTTCACCTGTGTAATGATCATGCTGTTTAATCAGCTTCTTGATATGCCACACCTGTCAGGTGGATGGATTATCTTGGCAAAGGAGAAATGCTCACTAACAGGGATGAAAACAAATCTGTGCGCAAAATTTGAGATAAATAATATTTTTGTGTGTATGGAACATTTCTGAGATTTTTAATTTCAGCTAATGAAACATGGGACCAACAGTTTACATGTTGACTTTTATATATATTTTTCAGTGTAGTTCAGGGGGATGCTGAAACTAACAACTAAGGGCTGGCCTCTGAATAGGACAACCTGATGATCGAATAGGCCATGTGGCCAACACCGTGCAACACCCCAAATGTAAGTCTAGGCCAGTCAAATGCCAGTTAAAGGCCTTGTCACGCCCTGGCTCTGGGGACTCTGTTATGTTGAGCCAGGGTGTGTAGAGTCTATGTTTTGTGTTTCTATGTTCAGGATCTAGTTCATTGTGTTTCTATGTTGGCCGGGGTGGTTCTCAATCAGAGGCAACGAGAATCAGCTGTTGCTTGTTGTCTCTGATTGGGAACCATACTTAGGCAGCCGTTTGGGCATTTGTGTTTGTGGGATCTTGTTCTGTGTTGGTTTGTGTATGTACCCAAGAACTTCACGTACCGTTTTGTTGTTTTTGTTCGTGTGGTGATATATAAATAAAAGATGTTCGCATTCCACGCTGCGTATTGGTCCACTCCTTTCAATGATCGTGACAGGCCTAGTGCAGTCCCACATTTTTTTAAGGTGTTTTATATATATTTCCACAATATGGGCTTGGAATAATACTGTCAAATTGTGAAAATGATGATAATGCCATTTTAGTGTAAGATAGGAGTGTGCCGACATGGCCATACAAGTATCTGTAAATTGACAGTTGATAGTCGGATCGGATCAAATGATACTCGTGATCAGAAGAAACTGAAGTGTTTTAATATGCCCAAATAGATGTTGGCAAAATACCTCCCTGCACGTTCTCACTGCAAAAAAGCTGCAGATTAGGAGCAGCATGTGGAGGGGTGGGTGTGTGTCTGTGTCTGTGTGTCCTCAACTTGCAGCAGGCAGCCAAGTTTGCTGTCACTCAGTCAGAATGCGCATTAGAGTTGAATATTTGTTCTCTTCCCTTGCCCCACTTGTTAGATATTATGCACATTGATAGCTTGAGAGAAACATCCTCACCATGTGATTGATCATAGTAGCAGGCAGCAGCAATCTAAATGACCAGACCCAAAACATGTGAGGAAAAGTGATCGGGTGAAATTATGAAGCAGGTGAACGGAGAAATAGAGCTTCACTCTATCCAATCAGAGCAGCAGGCTCAACGTACAGCCCGCCCTTCTGTTTACAGACAGGTAAACCAGCCAGTTGAGTTATTTAGACCACGCACATGACTGACTCAAATACAGGACAGTATGGTTTAGAAACTATGTGACTGACTGACATGAGAAAGATGCTTGCTGGCACCTGAAAATAACTTTTTTTCTGATCACGGATAATTACAAAAAATAATAGGTTCATAATCATATCCAGAAAATTGTCCATATCAGTTAATATCCTCGTTTCTTCCGACTCCTCGGCACACCGCTAGTGTAAGAGCTGTTTGAAAAGAATGCCTGAAATTTCAGCCTGTTTTGGTGGGAGTCTTAGAAAAAAGGGTTCCAAAAGGGTTCTTCGGCTGTCCCCATAGGAGAACCCTTTTTGGTTCGAAGTAGAACTCATTGGGGTTCCATGTAGAACCCTCTGTAGAAAGGGTTCTACATGGAACCCAAAAGGTTCTACCTGGAACCGAAAGGGTTCTACATACAACCAAAAAGGGTTCTTCAAAGGGTTCTCCTATGGGCACAACCGAAGAACCCTTTAAGGTTTTCGGTTTTCAAAGAGTGTGCCTGGTGACATCACCAGGTGATAAATTAGTTAGTAAAACATTATGAAAGAGAGTTCCAAACCTCTCTGACAATAACAGATCGTTTTCAGTTTCCCCTCCACACTCAGACCCCTCCCAAACAGTCCTACTACAATTCTTGCTTGACAAATTGCCTTTTCTAAGAAAATATTGTTTCTTTTTGACCATTTTAATTGAAAACAATCACATTAAGGTACTTAAATTGTTAGCCAGAAATGATATAATGTTGAGATAGAAATGGCTGCACTGGACCTTTAACCACCACATGCAAAACATTGCATTTTTCCTTCCTTGTTATTGACTTCTCTCTGTCAGAGTCACAGAGCGTTGCGAGTGTGGAGCTTGATAGGAATCAATTCATATGAAAGGTAAGTTGAACACCTTCTGCACCTTGTGTTTTTGTTAAGTTGATTAACAAAATGTATAGCCTGCATACTGAACATGACATTTTACGTAAGGTTATGTACAATTGAAATATGGCTCACGCGATTATATTTTTACATTTTAGTCACTTAGCAGACGCTCTTATCCGGAGCGACTTACAGTTAGTGAGTGCATACATTTTTCATACTGGCCCCCCGTGGGAAACAAACCCACAACCCTGGCGTTGCAAGCGCCATGCTCTACCAACTGAGCTACAGGGGATCACATATGTCCGTATAGTTTCCCAGTGGCCAGCTATTTATTTCCCAAGGTATTTCCTGAAATCTCATAATGTGGTCTTTTTCTAATTTACAGTTCCATCTTCATCTAATATGTTTCAAATTTCACAATTTGGCGTTTTTGTGTTGGTGGTTTATTGTTTTGTGTTGATGGTTTATGAAGCATCCCCTTCCCAACTACTTTGTCCTGGTGAGTATAGACCAATGTGTAGACTAACTAACTAACTAACTAACTAACTAACTAACTAACTAGGCTAATGTATTGAAATGTCTCTTCTCACTCCAAATATTTTTTCCCCTGGATGTTTAGTAGGTCTATGAAATAGTACAGTTTTTGCCACAAAAAACACCTACTGTAATTTAATTTTCAACATTTTTGATTTTTTTTTCAGTTGTTTGGTTAGATCTCAGAGGGAATGGAACATGTACGTATCTTTTCCCCTTAATTGTTCTGTAAGATCTGTCTTGTCAGTGGAGAGGACCTTTTGTTGTTGTTGCATTTAAAAAATAAAGAATTCCTCATAGACATTGACAACAGCTTTCACGATGGTGAACTATGTATCTTTTCTATTCAACTATGGTGTTGTTGACAAACATTTTACTTTTTATTAATAAATTACTAAATGCATTACATTATTGTATATTGTCATTAAGACTGATTCATAACTTAATTATCATAAAATACTTTTTTGTGTTTTGAATAACTAAAAGACTATACCCTTAAATTGAATAAACTTCAGTAAGCCATGGAATTGAATACTGTTCAGGGATTGCATCAACTGTTTGTTTCAGATTGTATCAGATTTCGTGAAAATTCCAACCAAAATACCGCAGCAGATAATCCTACAATACATTGTGTGGTTGAAAGCAATTCTAACAGTATGTTCAACTATATTCTAACTATATTTATTTTACCCTGTTTCTCTCACAAGAGACACTATTGCCACTTACATGTGAAAATAATCTGTACTGAATTTCTTGCCGTGCTTTCAGGACCTGAATGCAACTGCACAATTTCCAGTCTTCCACTGATGTATAGTCTAATAAAGGACATAAGAAATATCCAGCAGTGCATCGACTCTAGACAAAGAGTGGTGTCTTCATTCACATTGAGCACAAACCGCAAACTTCCTGATTTGTTGTCTGGATTATCAGGTAATTTGGTTGCAGCAAAGTGCAGTTTCTCAACCTTGATGTCCAACTGCTGAAAACACTATTGCATATCTGAGTAACATATTTGTATTAATTTATTTAAACTTTACTCAGGTTATTATCAAATGTATGAAACAAACATCACCCATTTGCCAAGAGGAATCATGTGTAGATTATCTAGCCTTCTATTGTCATGAACCATAATAAAGCATGCGTCTTTACTCAGTGTAAGTTGATTTGACCAATACCCTGGACTATGTTCTCTACTTACAGATTGCCCAATCAACATCATTCATCCATATGTTGATGACTGCAAAGAAATGTGTCTAATGAAATGTGTGGATCAATGGACCTTAATCAACATGGAAAATCTAAGTCAGACCACTACTATTGAACAAGAAAATAAAAGCACGATCACCACCTCAAATATTTTGAGAGAATGTGATTCTGAAGTCATTGGACAGACATATAAAAAGAATGTCCTGACCTCTGTTGATGAATTGATCAGGAAATGTAAAGGAAAGTCAGATACAGTAAAGAATGACCAGAAGTCGATTTCCATAACAAAGTTAGTCCACTTATCATTTGAACTGAAATCAGGGCCGGCCCTAGCCTTTTAGGGGCCCTAAGCAAAATTGTGTTGCTGGGGGGCTCTAAGCAGTCGCTTATGTCGCTTATGCCTAGGGCAGGCCCTGACTGACATTTATTTTAATGTAATTTGAGCTATGTCAATGTCTGACTGACAACTAAACATATTTTCATGGATTCTTTTTTGGTTGGATTATTCAGAACTGTGATTTTTTTTGTTCCCCTACCACAGCACATTTCACAACATTACCAATCAGGGACCTCAGAAAGTAATCCTTGAAAGCCTCAAAGGCTCAGTGACATCACATCAGAAGAACAATTTGCTCAACTTTAGAATGGCTCTACCCTCCACCAATAATGTAAGCATCAACGAAAGGGAGGGATGGAAAGAGATAGGTCAAAAGCAAAATGTGGATATCGCCAGTCACCACATTTATAACTCTTTCTCAATCTCCACCAGGCCACGTTGGAGAAGATGGATGACATTTGGTTGGAGATTCCTACTGAGGCTTTTAATGATTTTCTGGGACACACAAAAGAGGAAGTTAACCTGGGAGTATTTTGGTTTGAGAATGACAGCCTGTTCCCGGTAAAACAACAGTAACAACTACATCTCAGAGATAACTAATGAAACAGACCTGCACTCATAACACAAATAGACATATTTCAGGACATCCTCATTTTAACAAAAGCACAGAAAAACATCTGTGGTTCTTCCTCATTTAACTCCAGCATGTGAATAGTGTAGTGACAACACATTGGTATGAACATACACTGACATTATTAGTGCACATTTGAATGAAGCCCAAACTGCACCGTGACAGCCTGCTATGGAAATCGGCTTCATTTTATTTAAAGACACAACAACCACTTGTATCTCTGTCATCTATGTAAAGTTACAATGCAAACTTCTGCCTGCTCTCCCACTTTTTCATTCATTCATTGTCGTGCTTCTAAGCTAGCAACAAGTCACACTATTGCTCAAAAGCCCCTACAATACAACCTGTTGACAGAACTTCAGATAAAAGAGAACAAATTTACTGAGAAATATATAATTGCTTGTTGTTGTGACTCAAACATCATGCCCAGTGCCTATACAAAAATATATCCTTTGAGGTATTTGGTTCTGAGGAGAAATGTGGTCCTCTCTGAAATGTCTTATTAACTTGTGTCTTTAGAGAGAATGTATATCCTTTCTTCTGATCACTACTAGGTGGAGGAGAACAACACTAAGCTCCTAAACAGTCGAGTGGTATCCGTCAATGTGGGAGAGGACTTCTCAGACCTTAGTAACAATATAAAGATCACGTTCCGCTTCCAGAATGCATCACTGGTCAGTGAGCAGTGAATATTTACATCACAATCAACAGTCACACTCTCTTGTTTAATATTTATTATATTTTTGTTATTTCACCTGTCTGCAATCCAACAATTGCTTTACAGCTCCAATAATTCATGTTTATGATATGGTGAGGATTGGAATAGGATAGTGACTAATCAGGTTATTTTCTCTGATAGGAAAACAAATCACTAACATGTGTGTTCTGGGATGATGAAAATGGTAGTATTATTTATTAACTAAACAAAATAATAGTTTTATGAAACAAAATGATATGTTGAAAATGTTTTACTGTATCTCTTTGTTTCACAGATATTGTTGCACAATGGAATTCCTCTGGATGTGTCACTGAGACAAAGGAAAATCAAACAATATGCTCTTGTAACCATCTTTCATTCTTCGCAGTACTTATGGTGAGAAATAATTTCTTAACCTAGCTTAAATATGTTGTAACCTCATTTTAACATTCTTCTTTCGATTAATTAATTAAGGGCTCGATTCAAATAATGTCGCGGAAGATCTGCAGTATAGCACAATCGAAAGTTAAGTGCAACGTTCCCGCCTTCGCGGAGACTGCATTCACGCTAAGCTACTTATATGTCCGCTCAATTGGAAATGACCTTTAAATTTCAATCATGCTAAACCGCGATATGGATTTAATTAAGTCCACTCAATCAAAGTGTGATCTAGCCCCTGTGTGTGTGTTGACGGCAGGCACCAGGCAGTGTCTCTAGTGCCAGTCTGAGCTCCTCCTCTGTGTGGTTGCTGACGTTGTTGTCCAGGGTGGGCTGTGGAATATCCCTCTGTTTCCTGTGTCTGGCTCTCCTCATCCACCTCAGGTCAGATTCTACCGACAACTAATACTTATGTCCACGACATGCAAACAACGAGCCATCACACACAATGCCACTCAAACAGAACATCCTCATTGGAAAAAATCGTTTTGTGATTCAAAGTACCCTTTTTACATCATCAGTTGTCACACAGTGCTTTTACAGTAACCTGACCCCAAAGATTTAGCAGAAGGAACCTAGATAGGAACTGCCGTAACAATGAGATTTGCTATGTTGTTGATTTTGACATTAGATTTCATTATAACTTCTTCCTCCAGAAGGGGTAAATCTGATGATTCCCTGTGCATCCACATCCACCTGTGTGTGGCGCTTCTGTGCCTCAACCTGACCTTCCTCACCAACGACAGCCTAGCCTCTCTTGGCGTCCATGGCCTGTGTGTTGCTACAGCAACAGCCACCCACTACTCCCTGCTGTGTACCCTCACCTGGTTCTCCCTGGAAGGCTTCCACCTCTACCTGCTCATCATCCGGGTCTTCAACATCCACATCAACAGATACCTCCTCAAACTGGGCCTGGTAGGATGGGGTGAGTGCAGTAAATCAATGGTGAGGACAAGTATAATCAGACTAGGCGTGATCAGTGAGAAGTAAAAGTTTCACCCAGCTGCACATGGTATTGTCCAGCTTGATCAGCTCCTAGCTGAAGGGATCTGTGGATCTTTCCAGCTTTCATTGCTTTAAGGAATCTACGCTGTCTCTTGGTGTTTGACTCAACTGGGGAACCCAAATGAAAATGTTCCTTATCTCTTTCAGGAATACCTGGCATAGTAGTTATCATAATTGTTGCTTGTGGCAAATATGGAGAATACAACATATACCAGCAAGACGGTGGTGCTGTTAAAATGTAAGTAATATTATAATTATAATTATATGTGTTTTCATATCACCAATGACTCCCTTTCTCTCTGTAAAAAACAGACTGACTGTGTCCCTGTCTGTGTATGTATGTGACTGTGTCTGTGACTCCCCCCTTCTCTCCCTCCCCCCCCTTCTCTCCCTCCCTCCCTCTCCCTCTCTGTCTGTCTGTCTGTAGGTGCTGGTTGACTGACTCTGCTCTGACCACGGTGTCCTTCTCGTACTTCGTGCTGACATTCGTGGTGAACGTGCTGTGCTTTGGGTCTGTGACAGTGAAGGTGGTGAGGGCCCACCGTCAGAGTCCAGTCCTGAGGGAGAGTGGTATGAGCAGGGGGACAGTACTCAGTCTGCTGGGTCTGGCCTGGCTCCTGGGGGTCTCCTGGGGGGTCCTGCTCTTCCAGTTTGGCCCCCTGAAGGAGACAGCCTTCTACATCTTCTGCACTGTCAACTCTCTCCACGGTGAGATAAGATACAGCCCTTTATTCTCATTCACATCAGGAACACACATATGCACACATACATACATGAAGTCTTGTGTACGGAAGCACAATCACATGCATAGTCAATGATACAAATCTCATCATGGTAATTTAACTGCTGTTAATGTAATGGTACATATATTTAGGGGCATGGTGGATGCAAAACACATTTACATTGGTGTTTGTAAAAGCATGCCTTTATAAAACACTGTAGTTAATGTCCTGGTTGTGGCATTGATACCAGATTACCAACCCAGTCAAAGAACGTGGTCTATGGTCAGGGACCTACAGTATGTTCTATTACACCACTATGTGTCACTATTGTATACAAAGACAGACTTATCATCTTCCAAGAGCAGCTCTTGTAATTCAGTCAAAATCCTTATTACAACCTACAGGCTTCTTCCTGTTTCTACGCTATTGGGCTTTAACTCGGCCAGAGAAGGCATCTATCTCCACGGCAACCACTGTAGCTTCTTCAACTGAGATGCATCCAACTGAGGCCAGTCCCTGACTAACATGGTTAAACCTTTTACTACTAATACCACGGCTTCCATTTTGTTACCACAGAAGCACAATATTTAGTATGTCGGTTTAACATACCACTATAGGCAAACATAAGCATCAATTAAAGGGCAAGCACCAAAATAATAACGTGTTTCTAGGTTTGCTCGTAAGTTTTTTTTCAAAGTTGTGCTGTTTATTGCACTTTTTGCTGTGCATGTTGTTGTATTTTATGACACATCTTCCATGCATATTCAGTTTTGATGTGTATAGTCCTAGGCAAATAGGCAACACATCTATTAGGTTCAAATTATTTTCATCCCCATCTCTGAAAATATTAACAAATACGTTTGGCTACCCGATCTGTTACTCACCATTGTGCATGAGGGTAAGATGGAGTGGTCGACTATCAAGTGGTGCCTTTCTGTTTCTTTGATTGTCATAAAAAATCCTCTGAAAGATAGTATGTCCTTTTTTAGTCCATCTGTAACATTTTGGATCATTTTGATTTCCCCTTTGGTTTTTGCAGAATAGTCCTACAGTAGCCTATGGGCTACCTGAGATAAAATGAGGCCTAAATTAGTCAAGTAGATAGTACCTTATCATAACACAAAAACAATATTTGCAGGGATGTGAAATGAATGGTTACACATTTATATTTTTATTTAGATTGTGTAAACGTTTTTCTTTGTGTAAATAATGTATTTGTGTAAATAATCATTTGAAAGGGGGAGATGCTTCACAAGCCTCTCTGTGTTTTTCTACCTCTCCTGCATATGCTCTTTTAATTTTCCTTTTAATCTCTGATCATATTGTTTTGTATTTTCTTGTGTGCAAATAAAACAATAAAAAATTATAGATAACCTATATGCCTACCGTGTCATTGACATTGAGGGGGTTCAATTTAAACCTAAGAGTACTTTCACCCCTCCCAAACATTGAAATCATTATGTGGAAACATTCTGCCACCTTGTGGAAGACGAGCTCTAAAAGTTTAGTGTGAACAGAATAAAATAATGAAGAAACCCAACCTGAGCAAAGAGGAGCTACAATCTCTGAAAAAGCAACATGTTTTCACTTTGTCATTATGGGCTATTTTGTGTAGATCAATGAAATCTATTTTGAATTCAGGCTGTAACATAACAAAATGTGGAATAAGTCAAGGGGTATGAATACTTTCTCAAGGCACTGTGTATACCAAACATTAGGAACACCTTGCTAATATTGAGTTGCACCTGTCTCCTCCCCTTCATCTACACTGATTGAAGTTTAACAAGTGACAACTGGTCAGTCTTTATCATGGAAAGAGCAGGTGTTCTTAATGTTTTGTATACTCAGTGTATATTTCCTTAAACATCCTGTGTTGTGTGCTTGTTCTTTTACCAGGTACTGCAGGAACATCTACCAATGGCATGCCCATCTTTTTGTGAGAAAATACACTGGTCACTCCAAATATTTATACAGTATTTATGAGCACCTCCGCTAAGAGTATGAATTAGGCTGTTTGAGGAGGTTTGAATCCTAAGCAACCTGCCTACACATACAGTGGCTTGCGAAAGTATTCACCCCGCTTGGCTTTTTTCCTATTTTGTTGCCTTAAAACCTGGAATTAAAATTGATTTTTTGGGGGTTTTGTATCATTTGATTTACACAACATGCTTACCACTTTGAAGATGGAAAATATTTTTTATTGTGAAACAAACAAGAAATAAGACAAAAAAAATTTGCCCATTCTTCAAGGCGAAACTGCTCCAGCTACTTCAAGTTGGATGGGTTCCGCTGGTGTACAGCAATCTTTAAGTCATTCCACAGATTCTCAATTAGATTGAGGTCTGGGCTTTGACTAGGCCATTCCAAGACTTTTAAATGTTTCCCCTTAAACCACTCAAGTGTTGCTTTAGCAGTATGCTTAGGGTCATTGTCCTGCTGGAAGGTGAACCTCTGTCCCAGTCTCAAATCTCTGGAAGACTGAAACAGGTTTCCCTCAATAATGTTCCTGTATTTAGCGCCATCCATCATTCCTTCAATTCTGACCAGTTTCCCAGTCCCTGCCGATGATCCCCACGGCATGATGCTGCCACCACCATGCTTCACTGTGGGATGGTGTTCTCAGGGTTACGAGAGGTGTTCGGTTTGAGCCAGACATAGCATTTTCCTTGATGGCTAAGAAGCTCAATTTTAGTCTCATCTGACCAGAGTACCTTCTTCCATATGTTTGGGGAGTCTCCCACATGGCTTTTGGCGAACACCAAACATGTTTGCTTACTTTTTTTCTGCCCACTCTTCCGTAAAGCCCAGCTCTGTGGAGTGTACGACTTAAAGTAGTCCTATGGACAGATGCTCCAATCTCCGCTGTGGAGCTTTGCAGCTCCTTCAGGGTTATCTTTGGTCTCTTTGTTGCCTCTCTGATTAATGCCCTCCTTGCGGCCCTCTCTTGGCAGGTTTGTTGTGGTGCCATATTCTTTCCATTTTTTTAAATAATATATTTAATGGTGCTCCGTGGGATTTTCAAAGTTTCTGATATTCTTTATAACCCAACCCTGATCTGTACTTCTCCACAACTTTGTCCCTGACCTGTTTAAAATCAAAACAAATGTTATTTGTCACATGCACGTGTTTAAACAGATTTTTTGCGAGTGTAGGAAAGCTTGTGCTTTTAGCTCCGACAGTGCGTAATATCTAACAATAATTCTAACAATTTTCCCAAAATTCCCATACACACAAATCTAGTAAGGAATGGAATTTTGAATTAATAAGGACAAACATACAGGCGGGGATGGAAAGCGTAGAATATTTAGAAGAAAAATTATAAACATATGAATGTTTGTGCAAAATATGCAAAATTAAGTGATGTGTTCCATTCTTAAAGTGGCTGATTTCAATAGCACAGCGCCTCTAAAATCATGTGGCTATTTAACAGTCTGATGGCCTTGGGGTGAGTGTTTTTTTCATTCTCTCGGTCCCGCTTTGATGCACTGTACTGACCCGCCTTCTGGAGATAGCGGGTAAAGGGCCGGGCCGGTGGTTGATGTCCTTGATGAAATTTTTTTTGGCCCTTCTGTGGGCATCGGGTGCTGTAGGTGTCTTGGAGGGCGAGTAGTTTGCCCCCTATAATGCGTTCGGCAGACCGCACCACCCTGTGGAGAGCCCTGCGGTTGCAGGTGGTGCAGTTGCCGTACCAGGCTTTGATACAGCCCGACAGGATGCTCTCAATTGTGCATCTGTAAAGGTTTGTGATGTTTTTAGGTGCCAAGTCAAATTTCTTCAGCCTCCTGAGGTTGAAGAGGCTCTGTTGCGCCTTCTTCACCACACTGTCTGCGTGGGTGGACCATTTCAGTTTGTCAGTTACGTGTACGCAATGAACTTAAAGCTTTCCACCTTCTCCACTGCGGTCCCGTCAATGTGGATAGGGGGGTGCACCTTCTGCTGTTTCCTGAAGTCCACGATCATCTCCTTTGTTTTGTTGACGTTGAGTGAGAGGTTATTTTCCTTGGAGAGCTCCTTGGAGAGGTCCTTGGTCTTCATGGTGCCGCTTGCTTGGTGGTGCCCCTTGCTTAGTGGTGTTGCAGACTCTGGGGCCTTTCAGAACACGTGTATATATACTGAGATCATGTAACAATATTTACTTAGGTTTCCACAGGGGACTTTATTGAACTAATTATGTGACTTCGAAGGGTAATTGGGTTTCCCAGATTTATTTAGGGGTTCTAGCAAGCGGTGAATACATTTCACGACCACTTTCCCCTTATTTATTTTTTAGATTTTTTAACCAAGTTATTTTTTTTATTTTACTTACCAATTTGACTATTTTGTGTATTCCATTTCATGAAAAACCAAATAAAAAAACAAGTAAAATTACATAGGCGAAATGTTGTGCTTCTAGCTCCGCGTGCAGTAATCATTAACAAGTAATACTAACAATTTCCCAACATTTTACCCAATACACACAAAGTCAGGTATAGTGTAGGAATGGTTTAACGGAAATTAGTACAGTGGGGAAAGAAAAGTATTTAGTCAGCCACCAATTGTGCAAGTTCTCCCACTTAAAAAGATGAGAGAGGCCTGTAATTTTCATCATAGGTACATGTCAACTATGACAGACAAAATGAGAAAAAAAATTCCAGAAAATCACATTGTAGGATTTTTTATGAATTTATTTGCAAATTATGGTGGAAAATAAGTATTTGGTCAATAACAAAAGTTTCTCAATAATTTGTTATATACCCATTGTTGGCAATGACACAGGTCAAACGTTTTCTGTAAGTCTTCACAAGGTTTTCACACACTGTTGCTGGTATTTTGGCCCATTCCTCCATGCAGATCTCCTCTAGAGCAGTGATGTTTTGGGGCTGTCGCTGGGCAACACGGACTTTCAATTCCCTCCAAAGATTTTCTATGGGGTTGAGATCTGGAGACTGGCTAGGCCACTCCAGGACCTTGAAATGCTTCTTACGAAGCCACTCCTTCGTTGCCCGGGCGGTGTGTTTGGGATCATTGTCATGCTGAAAGTCCCAGCCACGTTTCATCTTCAATGCCCTTGCTGATGGAAGGAGGTTTTCACTCAAAATCTCATGATACATGGCCCCATTCATTCTTTCCTTTACACGGATCAGTCGTCCTGGTCCCTTTGCAGAAAAACAGCCCCAAAGCATGAAGTTTCCACCCCCATGCTTCACAGTAGGTATGGTGTTCTTTGGATGCAACTCAGCATTCTTTGTCCTCCAAACACGTTGAGTTGAGTTTTTACCAAAAAGTTCTATTTTGGTTTCATCTGACCATATGACATTCTCCCAATTCTCTTCTGGATCATCCAAATGCACTTCAGACGGGCCTGGACATGTACTGGCTTAAGCAGGGGGACACGTCTGGCAATGCAGGATTTGAGTCCCTGGCGGAGTAGTGTGTTACTGATGGTAGGCTTTGTTACTTTGGTCCCAGCTCTCTGCAGGTCATTCACTAGGTCCCCCCGTGTGGTTCTGGGATTTTTGCTCACCGTTCTTGTGATCATTTTGACCCCACGGGGTGAGATCTTGCGTGGAGCCCCAGATCGAGGGAGATTATCAGTGGTCTTGTATGTCTTCCATTTCTTCATAATTGCTCCCACAGTTGATTTCTTCAAACCAAGCTGCTTACCTATTGCAGATTCAGTCTTCCCAGCCTGGTGCAGGTCTACAATTTTGTTTCTGGTGTCCTTTGACAGCTCTTTGGTCTTGACCATAGTGGAGTTTGGAGTGTGACTGTTTGAGGTTGTGGACAGGTGTCTTTTATACTGATAACAAGTTCAAACAGGTGCCATTAATACAGGTAACGAGTGGAGGACAGAGGAGCCTCTTAAAGAAGAAGTTACAGGTCTGTGAGAGCCAGAAATCTTGCTTGTTTGTAGGTGACCAAATACTTATTTTCCACCATAATTTGCAAATAAATTCATTAAAAATCCTACAATGTGATTTTCTGGATTTTTTTTTCTCAATTTGTCTGTCATAGTTGACGTGTACCTATGATGAAAATGACAGGCCTCTCTCATCTTTTTAAGTGGGAGAACTTGCACAATTGGTGGCTGACTAAATACTTTCTTTCCCCACTGTATACATATATGGACAAGCAATGACAGAGCGGCATGGACTAAGATACAGTAGAATATTATAGAATAGAATACAGTATATACATATGAGATGAGTAGTGCAAGATATGCAAACATTATTAAAGTGACTAGTGTTCCATTCTTAAAGTGGCCAGTGATTTCAATATGCAGCAGCAGCCTCTAATGTGCTAGTGATGGCTATTTAACAGTCTGATGGCCTTGAGATAGTAGCTGTTTTTCATTCTCTCGGTCCCAGCTTTGATGCACCTGTACTGACCACGCCTTCTGGATGATAGCGGGGTGAACAGGCAGTGGCTCGGGTGGTTGATGTCCTTGATGATCTTTTTGGCCTTCCTGTGACATCGGGTGCTGTAGGTGTCTTGGAGGGCGAGTAGTTTGCCCCCGATAATGCGTTCGGCAGACCGCACCACCCTGTGGAGAGCCCTGCGGTTGCAGGTGGTGCAGTTGCCGTACCAGGCTTTGATACAGCCCGACAGGATGCTCTCAATTGTGCATCTGTAAAGGTTTGTGAGGGTTTTAGGTGCCAAGTCAAATTTCTTCAGCCTCCTGAGGTTGAAGAGGCTCTGTTGCGCCTTCTTCACCACACTGTCTGCGTGGGTGGACCATTTCAGTTTGTCAGTTATGTGTACGCAATGAACTTAAAGCTTTCCACCTTCTCCACTGCGGTCCCGTCAATGTGGATAGGGGGGTGCACCCTCTGCTGTTTCCTGAAGTCCACGATCATCTCCTTTGTTTTGTTGACGTTGAGTGAGAGGTTATTTTCCTTGGAGAGCTCCGTGGAGAGGTCCTTGGTCTTCATGGTGCCGCTTGCTTGGTGGTGCCCCTTGCTTAGTGGTGTTGCAGACTCTGGGGCCTTTCAGAACACGTGTATATATACTGAGATCATGTAACAGATCATTTACTTAGGTTACACACAGGTGGACTTTATTGAACTAATTATGTGACTTCTGAAGGTAATTGGTTGCACCAGATCTTATTTAGGGGCTTCATAGCAAAGCGGGTGAATACATATGCACGCACCACTTTCCCGTTATTTATTTTTTAGCATTTTTTGAACCAAGTTATTTTTTTCATTTCACTTCACCAATTTGGACTATTTTGTGTATGTCTATTACATGAAATCCAAATAAAAATCAATGTAAATTACAGGTTGTAATGCAACAAAATAGGAAAAATGCCAAGGGGGATGAATACTTGTGCAAGGCACTGTAGTTTGAATACAATACAAACATACTGTAGCTACTGCAGTAGGTCAAAGCTGTCTGCTGGAAAACATTGGTAGAGCATGGGTGAAATAGGCATTGTGGTGCTCATGTGAATTTCCTTTATTTTTTGGCTTCAGACTAATGCCTGTTCTCACTTAAAACATAGTTTTGGGTTTTTAATTTCCATGTTTATTACACCGGAAGGTGATTACGCAACATTATAATACAGCATAACACAGCAATGCAAGTTATGTAAAACTAAACAATAATGACTAATGGAAACATAAATAATCCAGTTGTTAGTATTTATTTAATATTAACAGCTGATTTTAACAGGAAGCGAAAAACCAGGAACCCAATTAAGCCAATATGGAGTAAACTGTAACCATTTTCCCTGATCTCTCTTAAGACATTCAAGTAAGCTCCTGGAAAATACGTAAATAACCAGTATGTACCCATTAACTATTTACATGAAAATGTACCTTATAGTTTACTGAAGAAAGGTCTAGTACTACATTACCTGTAAACAAAAGTGAGTTATCACTAAAAATAAAATGTACAACCAAATGTACATTCATCAGATATAGTCAACTTTGTAAATACAATTCAGGGATGGACACAATTGCTTGACAAGATACAGGTTTATGCAGGCTTTTTTGTTCAAGCACAGTTCTACCACACCTGATTCTACTATTCATGGTCTCAATGAACAGCTTGGGTCTAGATGAACAGCTGAGTAGTATAATCATTTGTGGTAGCACTGGTATTGAACAGAACAGCCTGCATAACGCTGTGGATCGTCAAGAGCGATTTTGATAACTCCTGATGCAAACACTACAACAAATGACAAACTGCTTAGAAACACCTGTAAAATACAGTCATTTGACAAGTACAAAACTCTTAAGAAACATTACAGAGATATTTACAAATCTGAAATTGGATAGGTGCTCTAAATCCTTGAATACAAAACTTCAGGTACAAATGTCCCAAGTAATTCTGTACACTGCTGTCCAACTCCAGTAAAAGAGCACACATCCTCATTTATAAATGGTGCATTTGAATCGGCATAAGTCGTTTGCCAGTTCCACATGGGCCAGCTTGCATTTCTCCGTGACAGGCGCATGCCCACAATCAGCCACTCTGCCATAAAGCACTGTGTCCTTGGGCAGTACTGTAGGGATGGAGTGCATCTCACAGATGAGGGCATTATCTAGTGTAGGACCTGTCAGGCAGATAGATAGTACTTAAGACATTATCTAGTGTAGGACCTGGCAGGCAGATAGACCATTGGCTTAGGTTATTTAATACCTAGTAACAGCCTAACTACATATTTCATATTAGTGCATTTCAGGTGTAGGCTACATATACAGTACCAGTCAAAAGTTTGGACACACCTGCTCACTCAAGGATTTTTCTTTATTTTTACTATTTTCTACATTGTACAGTAGTAGTGAAGACATCAAAACTATGAAATAACACATATGGAATCATGTAGTAACCAAAAAAGTGTTAAACAAATCAAAATATATTTTATATTTGAGTTTCTTCAAAGTAGCCACCTTTGCCTTGATGACAGCTTGGCATTGAACAGAAATAAAAAGAGAATGACCTGACCTCTGTTGATGAATTGAACAGAAAATGTAAAGGAATGGCAGAAAAAAGGAAGTCCACTTATTAGGACTGATGTACTATATTTTACTGTCGTTTGAGCTATGTCAATATTTGACTGACAACTAAACATATTTTCATCGTATCGTTTTTGGCATGATTATTCTGAACTTCTTTGATGTTTCGTTACATCAGCACATTTCACAACATTACCAAGCAGGGACCTCAGAAAGTGATCCTTGGCAGCATCAAAGGCTCAGTGACATCACATCAGAAGAACAATTTGCACAACTTTAGAATGGCTCTACCCTCCACCAATAATGTAAGCAACGAATGAGAGGGATGGAGAGAGAGGGGGGGTTCAAAAGCAAAATGGAGAGATAGTAATCACATGCATAACTCTTTCTCCATCTCCACCAGGCCACGTTGGAGGAGATGGATGAGATTTGAATGAAGATTCCTACTGAGGCCTTGTATGCTTTCCTGGGAGATAAGGCAGAGGAAGTTAACCTGGCAGTATTTTGTTTTGAGCATGACAGCCTGTTCCCGGTAAATCAACAGTAACAACTACAACATCTCAGAGATGACTAATGAAACAGACCTGCACTCATAACACACATAGACATTTCAGGACATCCTCATTTCAAGCAAAGCACAGAAAAACATCTGTGGTACTTTCTCATTTTAACTCTAGTATGTGAATCATGTAGTGACAACAAATTGGTATAAACATACACTGATGTTATTAGTGCACATTTGAATGAAGCCCTGAAGCAAACTGCATCGTGACAGCCTGCTATGGAAATTGGCTTCATTTATTTAAAGGGTATTTTTAGCATGTTGACAGTTCTGGGAAGACCCAACAAACACTTGCGTCTCTGTCATCTATGTAAAGTTGCAATGCAAACTTCTGTTCTCTCTTCTGATCCTTGGCTAGGTGGAGGAGAACGACGATGAGCTCCTAAACAGCTGAGTGGTGGCCATCGATGTGGGAGAGGACATCTCAGGCCTCACTAACCATATAAAGGTCACATTCCTCTTCCAGAATGCATCACTGGTTAGTGAGCAGTGCATATTCACATCACAATCAACCGTCACAGTCTCGTTTTCATTTATTTCATGATTACTATTATTTTCCTGTCTGTAATCCAACAATTGCTTTACGGCCCCAATAATTCATGTTCACATGTTTATGATATGGTGTGGATTGGAATAGGACAGTGACTAATCAGGTTATTTTCTCTGATAGGAAAACAAATCACTAACGTGTGTTCTGGGATGTTGAAAATGGTAGTATTATGAATTAACTAAACAATATAGTTTTATGACGCACTATATACAACAAAATGATATGTTGAAAATGTTTTACTGTATCTCTTTGTTTCACGGATACGGTTGCACATTGGAATTCCTCTGGATGTGTCACTGAGACAAAGGAAAATGAAACATTATGCTCTTGTGACCACCTTTCATTCTTCGCAGTACTTATGGCGAGAAATCATTTCTTAACCTAACTCTTAAAATATGTTGTGACCTCACGTTAACAGACTTTCGATCAATTAAATTGAACAATCAATCAAAGGGTGATCTAGCCCCTGTGTGTGTGTTGACGGCAGGCACCAGGCAGTGTCTCTAGTGCCAGTCTGAGCTCGTCCTCTGAGTGCTTGCTGAAATTGTTGTCCAGGGTGGGCTGTGGAATATCCTTCTGTTTCCTATGTCTGGCTCTCCTCATCCACCTCAGGTCACATTCTACCAACAGCTACTACTTACGTTCATGACACATGCAAATAACTAGCCACCACACACAATGCCACTCAAACAGAACATCCTCATTGGAAAAACACGTTTTGTGATTCAAAGTACCCTTTTTACATCAGCAGTTGTCACACAGTGCTTTTACAGTAACCTGACCCAAAAGTGGAAGCAGAAGAAACCTAGATAGGAACTGCCATAACAATGAGATTTGCTATGTTGTTGATTTTGACATTAGATTTCATTATAACTTCTTCCTCCAGAAGGGGTAAATCTGATGATTCCCTGTGCATCCACATCCACCTGTGTGTGGCGCTGTTGTGCCTCAACCTGACCTTCCTCACCAACGACAGCCTAGCCTCTCTTGGCGTCCATGGCCTGTGTGTTGCTACAGCAACAGCCACCCACTACTCCCTGCTGTGTACCCTCACCTGGTTCTCCCTGGAAGGCTTCCACCTCTACCTGCTCATCATCCGGGTCTTCAACATCCACATCAACAGATACCTCCTCAAACTGGGCCTGGTAGGATGGGGTGAGTGCAGTAAGTCAATGGTGAGGACAAGTATGATCAGACTAGGCGTGATCAGTGAGAAGTGAAACCGTTTCACCCAGCTGCACATGGTATTGTCCAGCTTGATCAGCTCCATGCTGGAGGGATTTCTGGATCTTTTCAGCTTTCATTAATTTATTTAAAGTATCTATGCTGTCTCTTGGTGTTTGACTCAACTGGGGAACCCAAATGAAAATGTTCCTTATCTCTTTCAGGAATACCTGGCATAGTAGTTATCATAATTGTTGCTTGTGGCAAATATGGAGAATACAACATATACCAGTAAGACGGTGGTGCTGTTAAAATGTAAGTAATATTATAATTATAATTATATGTGTTTTCATATAATATAATATATAATATAATATAATATAATATAATATTTAGCAGACGCTTTTATCCAAAGCAACTTACAGTCATGTGTGCATACATTTTTACGTATGGGTGGTCCCAGGGATTGAACCCACTACCCTGGCGTTACAAGCGCCATGCTCTACCAATTGAGCTACAGAGGACCACCACCAATGACTCCCTTTCTCTCTGTAAAAAACTGACTGACTGTGTCCATGTCTGTGTATGTACGTGACTGTGTCTGTGACTGTGACTCCCCCCTTCTCTCCCTCCCTCCCCCTTCTCTCCCTCCCTCCCTCCCTCTCCCTCTATGTCTGTCTGTCTGTAGGTGCTGGTTGACTGACTCTGCTCTGACCACGGTGTCCTTCTCGTACTTCGTGTTGACATTCGTGGTGAACGTGCTGTGCTTTGGGTCTGTGACAGTGAAGGTGGTGAGGGCCCACCATCAGAGTCCAGTCCTGAGGGAGAGTGGTATGAGCAGGGGGACAGTACTTAGTCTGCTGGGTCTGGCCTGGCTCCTGGGGGTCTCCTGGGGGGTCCTGCTCTTCCAGTTTGGCCCCCTGAAGGAGACAGCCTTCTACATCTTCTGCACTGTCAACTCTCTCCACGGTGAGATAAGATACAGCCCTTGTTCTCATTCATATTTGCATTTACATATCAGACGCACACATACATAAACAGTAGCACAATCCCATGCAAATTCAAGGATAAAAAGCTCATCATGGTAATTTAATGACTCTATTAAATTACTTTTTTGCTATTAATGTAATAGTCCGTAGATCTAGTAAATAAAGGCATGCCATTATAAAACACTGTAGGTAATGTCCTGGTTGTGGCATTGACAGCAGATTAACAACCCAGTCTGATACTGTGGTCTATGGTCAGGACCTAGGGTCTATTACACCACTGGGTGTCACTATTGTATACAAAGACAGATTTATTATCTTTCATGAGCAGCTCTTGTAATTCAGTCAACATGCTTAGTACGGTTTTGACTAGGTGGTATACAACTTTTTTTTCGTAGAGGGTTAGGAGAACTTACCCAGCAGAATAGGACAATTAACGTAGGAGGTTAGGAGAATTAGGTTAAGACTATAAAAAGGGTTAGGGTTAGCTAAAATGCTCTCCTAACCTGCTACGAAAAGTAACTTCTATCGAGTCACAACCGCTTATTACAACCTACAGGCATCTTCCTGTTTCTACTCTATTGGGCCTTAACTCCGCCAGAATAGGCATCTATCTCCACGGCATCCACTGAAGCGTGTTCAACGGAGATGCATCCAGCTGCAGCACAAAACTAAAAACATGTGTTTCCAGGTTTGCTCGTAAGATTAGGGCTAGATTCAATCAGTTCTGACAACTGCAGAGCAGTTTTATTTGTATTTAGGCGATGTCGGAGGTGTAACTGCATTGGAGCTGTCAAATCAGCAAACAGCTCCCAGCGTTATACCTTTCGCAGACATTGCCATTGGATGTCCTGAGTCGCATTAATAATAATTCCATGCAGCCTTGTTACATTTTCGAACACTGGAATGTGTAATCTAGGCCTACACCTCGATTAGGCTGATATAAATCTGTATTATTTTGTTTAATGATTTTCAATTTGAATGTCATTATTTCTATACAGCCTACACTTTATCGTACTGAACTTCTAAAGCGAGTGGGACGGCTGTGGCTTCGTGACGATGACCACACAAGCAGCTGCTCACTGATTTGACAGCTCTAACGTAGTTACACCTCTGACACCGCCAAAACACCAGCTCTGTGTGTCGGCTATCGCCGGTTATGCTTTGATCTGATTGAATCTAAGCCTAACTGTGCTCATAATATATATATATATATATATATACGTTTTTTTTGTTTTGTATTATTGAAATGCCCATATAGCTTTGGTAAAATAAATACTGTAGATTTCAATGTGCAAAAGGTGATACGCCTATGTTGAAATGATAATGTGATGAGGCAGGACAAAAACAAGCCACAACCATTCTTTACAGTGTATTTTTAGTTGTTGAGTTTTTATTGAAAAACTGCAAAATGTTGTACTACAAACATTACAGGACACACATGGCATTTTGTTAAAGGAATTCATGCAACAGGGGTTTCAATGGCAACATGCTCTTAGCAGACCTACGTCAGGGTCCTAGGCGCTGAGCCCACACAAAACTATAGTCCTAATTTGTCCTGTTTAGTGTGGTCTCCCCAAATCACACCACGTGCCTCACCCAAAGGAAATGCACCGAGCACAGAGACAGAGCAAAGTATGTTACGAGACAGATAACAATTTATTGTATTCATGTTTTAATTTCAATTTAAGCACTATTCCCAATGTTCTAGGGACTGTGTGGGGCTGTAAAGCGTTGTTTTCTCTGTGCTCTCAGAGAAAAGTAACAGCCCTAGCTGGGAGAAACCCTGGCGGAGAGGAGAGGAGGTTGGGTTTAGAAGTCCTCCATTAGGTGCAAACAAAACTAAACAGATACCAGGAATAGTACAATGAATAGAAACCACTCATTTGACATGAAGAGTTGCTCAAAGTGACTGTAATGTAATGGCTTGTATAGAGGACAGTCCGTCTTTTGTCTCTGGGTTTTCTTAGCTACTGTCTAATTTTGAGTGAGGCTGTCTGTGGTCGTCTTTTAAGTGCTCTGATGCTGTGAATGGTTTGACTGAGGAATCACACATTGTAGTGAATGTCTGAAATAAACCATTGCCCTACAGAACACAACATCTTTGTCTCTGTAAAAGTGCTTTGAAGAATTAAACTCTTATCAAACCTTCTGAACACACATTTAGCCGATTTCTTAACAAGGAGGAGGAACATGTTTGGAGGTTGAAATTAGGGTACCTCAGCTTGTCCACGCCATTCCTCACCAGCAGAAATAGGTTCCTAAACCTAACAAGACTATGCTGGACAACTGGTAAACAAAGATAGCAAAATATGTTTTATATTTTTCAAAACTCCTGGTGAAATTGAATATTTGTAGACAGGTGGCTTGGCCCACAATCTAGTCCATTAGCAGTTGTAAAATGTAGTTGTAATATACAAACGTGCAAGTGAATTTTATGTGACGTGAGGTTAAGTTTGCATTTGTGTGCCTGCTACGCAAATAAGTAGTTGTGTTGAGGTTGAATAATATGCACGTTGTGATGTCTGTGGAAACAACCCAGTATCAACCACAAAGCTAAGGAGTGATCCAACATGTCTGTGAAATTATTACAAACATTGTAATAAAACAATATGTTCACCACCACAAAAAACAGATGTTCAATCGATCATGCGATATCCAGTCCTATAGCAATTCTTATCCAGGAGGGATTTGGCCCATATAATTGTTATGAAAAACTAATGTACAAGCGCTTTCCATACATTCGCTGTCTGTCTGATGAAAACCTTCTAACAAAATGTTTCACACATTATTTTTATTTTTTTTACATTTATTGAAAGCACTAACTGCCCTCAATGTACTCTGAACATTTCGTGACTCTACGACCAAGAAATTGTATTCAAAATAGCTTCTGAAGTTTCATAATTGTATGTTTGTTCATTGGAAAGTATGATTTTCAATTTCCTGAAAGTTTCTGTTTTGGAGATGAGGTTTTCACCAGACAGAGACGATAAAAAAGGCAACCAAGAGAAAGAGCAGCAACGGAAACATACGTGAAGTCGAAAGAGTTGTCAGAAGAGGAGGTAAAGGGGACTAAGTGGAATGAAACGTGATAGTTTAGGACCCATGGAGGGAATATGAAGACTCCTCCCATTCCAGAAGACTTGTATCAATCCTTCCCCTCCATCCATCATCCCCATGGTAACATCTCTCTTTCATCCAATCAGTAAATGACTTAGATGACCCCATGATCAGGTGAATCTTTGTTTTTTATTTCCCTGTGCCAAGTAATCGTCTCTAAAAAATCTCCACCCACATATCTGGACAAACAAGTCCACAACATTTCAATCTTGCCATCGTTACACAGTATACAAATGTGTTGAGTGCATGCATTTCAAATAAACATCCCCCAAATAATCCCTGTCACAGAACATACACACATACACATCACCCTCTCTCACACACACACACACATCTAGAGACCACATGATGTGAAATAAATAGCTGTATATACAAGAGCCCAAGAGGGCAGCAACAACAACTCATGTATGTACACAAACACACAATACATAGGGTAAAGATTATGTTCAACAAAAAGCTTAGCCCTTTATGTTAACATGAGATAAATAATACAGAAACTGTAAATGTGTGTTTTATTGGATTCCAGCATTGAATAAGTAGCCTTAGACATCAGACTGTCCCACTCTGGCCAAATCAAATAAATAACATTACACAATGTCCCTACCAAAACTTCCTTGTCAAGGAGATTAGAAAATTACCTCATTTTATAAGCTTCACGTACAGTAACTTTAACAGTGGTGATATATATATATATATATATATATTCATATTAGTCCCATCTCTAACAACAGGGTGCATTAGTTGGGTTATATCCAAGTGTCACAAATGAATACACAGTTGGAAAGTCTTAGTTCATAGTCAGTCAAATCTGCTAATGTTGAGATGGGGTTTAAATAATTAGCATTATTAGTTATAAGCCCAATCTGATGTCAGAACTGTGTAGAGGGCAGGTTTTATCCTTCCAACTATTAAAAACATGTTTTTCTCTCTTTGTGCAACAGTCATCTACTAACTAACCACCAGCAGTATCTAGGCTACAGTCCTAAAATAAAAGGACTCCATGTGAGGGTCCTCTGAGGCAGGTAACTAACCAACCCACCCTAGATCTGTGCTTATCCCTCACATGACCCAAATTAAGAGCAATGGCTCCTGAATTATCAAAACACATTTAAAAATAAGAAAAAAAAGTGCAAACATGTCCAGAACCATTTTGGTCAGGCGGTAACCCACCCCACACACCAGAATGTTGTGAAACTAAAAACACAGGACATTAATAATGATTATCACAACTTCACTAGGTCATTATGCACTTGTGCCTGACAGGAATCTCAATGAGGAAACTAACTGAGGAGCCACACTATGACACAGCCTATGGTGTCTCCCTCAGACCAAGGATCTCTACAATAATAATGATGAGGTTTGAGGGAGTGGCTACATCTTTGTGACGTCTACATTTTAAAATCTAGCTTATTATTTACCATGTCTAAATTCTCTCTTAACATTTTTTAAAGTGGCCAAATGTCAGTAACTGTGTATCCCATTCATGCAGTACACACACACAGAGGACAGGGTTCCCATTACCATATTATGAACAGCCCTGGATGGCTTCACAACCCAATGGCAGGAAACCAAGAGAAAACAACAAACAAAGTCACAACTTCAGAGGCATATGGTTCGACGGTTCCCTCCCTCCCTCTCTCTCATCATGCCTCTCTCTATCCTCCCAGAAAAGTCTATGTCTATTTTCTTTATCAGACAGAACAGAATACAAGGCAAAGTCAGGTTGTTATGTCTGCTACAAGTTTTTTAAAAAGAAAGATGAAAGACAAGTGGTCCTTTGTTTCTCTGTGGAATTAGACCAGGTGTTTGGTGGATGATAGTCCAGGGACAGTCCCTCTTCCACCCACACACACACAGAGTTGAAGAAGGAAGCCAAGGTCAGTTCTTGGGAGGAAACTTTTGTCTTACATACGTGTCTGTCAGATTGAGGTTATGGGTTGGAGCGAGAGCCACAATCACTATCATGCTGGAGAGCAGGGATGGTAGGAAGGGGTCCTTCTGTTCTGCCCCCAAATAAGAGCTATATGGGGACGTCCTGAGCCCCTAACATTGAACTTTGCTAAGAGCTGGCATGAGGTACATGTAGAGGTCTGTTGCGAAGGGAGTTGAGGTGATGGAGAGCTGACTGAATCCCGTCAGAAAAATTAATAAATCACAGGGGTTAGAAGAGAGGACACCCACTAAATCACATCCTTAAAGCTCACACCCCTCCTCCTCCTGTTTGTCCTCTATGCCCACAGCAGAGCTGTTCATCTTCCTCCTCCGGGGCCATGCATAGAGAGAGAGAGATGCATCGTGACACAATGTCAGCTCACTAAGAGGCAACAAGCCACTGCTGGCTCGCACAATGCACTTTGCCCCCACAGTGAGGGATTCTGGGAGTTCCTTCAGGTAACCAGCCTTTGGCTCGTCCACTAGAGAGAAGACCAGAGGTGCTGTCACGTCCTGCTTCACAGAGCTCCCAGCTTTAGGGGAGGTCCTATGACCCCATGGGAGAGCCCACTCCCCACACCCCACCCTGATTGGCTGGAGGGTAGATGAGGGGGCGTGGAGTCGAGGTGAGCACTGCAGAGAAAGGAGAATGGGAGGAGTGCAGGGTACAGAGTAGGGGTATGGTGGAGGAGGCTAGCGGTCTGCAATGCACCCCTGGGATCACTGGCTGGGGTAGGTGGGGTAGCGGGCGGGGGAGTGTCGGCTGTGTGCCAGGGGCATGGTAGCGTGGCGTGGCTCTGAGGGCAGCCGGGTGGAGAGCAGGTCTGCATCAGCGCCAGTCTGAGAACCACCAAACATGTCACCTACAGGACAGGACAAGACACAAGAGACAGACGAGAAATAGTCATGTCTACAGGTGCAGCCTACTCCATAAGCTTCTGTATGATTCGTTAAACTCCAGACCCCATGTTCAAACGTTTACACTTTCCATATTCAGACCAATGTTCCCACTCTAGCCCCAGTGCTGTGTGGTTGAGATTGTAGTCTAGGCTGTGGTTTACCATGGGCTGGGTCCATGCCCCCCTGGGTGCCAGTGATATGGTGCCAGAAGGCACTGCGGGGCAGGATGGCCGTGGGGGTACAGGGGTAGGAGCCCGCCTCAGAACCTTTAGACAACTGACAGAGACAGAAAATACATAGAAAACACAGTATTATATAACCACCCGGGAGAATACTGTGTGTGTGTGTGTGTGTGTGTGTGTGTGTAACTGTGCCTTACTCTGCTGTTCTTCTCCATCTCCATCAGAACTCTCTTGTGCTGCTCAGCGATGGCCAGGGTGGAGGAGTGGACTCTCTGGTAGATCTGCTCTCCCTCCCGCGTCTGGAATGTGTACAGGCCTTCTCCACTGTCACACATCCTGGAACACACCAAAACACACTGCTCAGTACAACATGCATGTGCATACAGGCCATAATATAGGTCATATCAACAATTCATCCTATATAGATATGTTTTTGCAAACAGTCCTTTTGCAGGCACACTGTATTTACCACAAATTGTTCTCAAGCAATTGACAGCCAATAATAATGCATCCTAACCACCAATAGGGGGCAGTGTGGGACTACGTTCTCCGTACTGACAGTACATCACCCTTATCTTTGTCCTTTGGAGGGCACCCTGCAAGTGGACCGAATCCTTTCTTTTCAAGTTTATCAAAGCGCAGGAGGAGATAAGAACGCCTTTCCTCTAATCTATTCAATCAATCTCTTTATGAGGCTCTGCCGGACAGGGCTCCTGTCCGTCTGCGTGTGTGTGTGCGCGCGCGCAAGTGCGAGCATGCGTGTATGTGGTCTGTATGTGTTTTTCACCAAGCTATCTATGGGCTAGGCACAGACAACTGGTTACACAGTCCTGCTTTTCTGCAGCTTTGCGTTCTTCTCCCCATCCCTCACTCTCCATACCCCTCCCTCCTTCCCTCCCTCCCTCCCTCCCTCGCTCCCTCACCGTCCAGCCTCGAAGGTGAAGCGCGTGGCATCTCTTCCGTAGCGGCGCAGGGAGCAGAGCGGCCAGGTGACCAGTTTGGTGCGAGGGTTGTGGATGTCCCACAGGTAGATATTCTCATGGGTGATCTGCATCATACACTCCCCATAGATGTCCAGGTTAGGACAGGGCAGTAGGAACACATTGAAACGCTCTGACAGGGAGACAGGAAGGGATATTATTAGGAGAGAAGGAGAGTGATGGAGTGCTGCATCAGATGACCTGGCCTCCACAATCCCCCGACCTCAACCCAATTGAGATGGTTTGGGATGAGTCGGATGGTAGAGTGAAGGAAAAGCAGCCAACAAGTGCTCAGCATATGTTGGAACTCCTTCAAGGCTGTTGGAAAAGCATTCCAGGTGAAGCTGGTTGAGAGAATGCCAAGAATGTGCAAAGCTGTCATCAAGGCAAAGGGTGGCTATTTGAAGAATCTCAAATATAAAATATTTTTGATTTGTTTAACACTTTTTGGTTCCTACATGACGATGGAGTTGGTGCCATGCAAAGCCACGAAGTGGGTGAACAGGGAGTACAGCAGAAGGCTGAGGACACACCCCTGGGGGGCCCCTGTGTTAAGAGTCTGTGTGGAGGAGGTGTTGTTGCCTATCTTACAGCCTGCGGTCTGCCCATCAGGAAGTCCAGGATCCAGTTGCAGAGAGTGGTGTCCAGACCCAGGGCTCTGAGCTTGGTGTCGAGTTTGGAGGGAACTATAGTGTTGAATGCTGAACTGTAGTCAATGAACAGCATTCCTCACATAGGTGTTCCTCTTGTCCAGATGTGTTACGTCCGTGTGGAATAGCAATGGAAATGGCATCTTCCGTGGTTCTGTTGGAGTGGTAGGCAAATTAGAGTGGGTCCAGTGTGCCTGCCATGCTGGCCTTGATGTGGGCCATGACCAGCCTCTCGAAGCACTTCATGAGTGCTACGGACGGATAGTCATTTGGGCATGTCACCTTGTTTTTCTTTGGCAATGGGATGATGGTGGTCTCCTTGAAGCAGGTGGGGAATACAGGTTGAAGATGTCAGAAAAGACACCCGCCAGTTGGTCAGCACAAACTCTGAGGACGCCGTATTGTGAGTATTCACTCTTTTGAGAGTTTTCCTTACGTCAGCCTTGGAGAGCAAAATCACCTTGTGGTCTGGAGCAGCGAGAGTCTTCCTGGACGGCTTGGTATTGTCTGTCTCAAAGCGAGCATATAATGTGTTAAGCTCGTCGGGAGGGAGGCTTTGGTGGGCACCACACAGCTGGATTTGCCTTTGTAGTCTGTGATAGTCTGTATCCTTGCCACATGAGACGTGAGTCTGAGTTGTCGAACATCAATTCAAGTTTGAGTCTGTATTGTCTTTGTGCGTCACTAATGGATATGTGGCGCTCGTACGTGTTTGTCTTGTACACATTGCGCGCCACTGAGTCATCTGGGTTCGTTCTTCTGACATTGAATGCTGCAGTACGGGCTCTCAGCATGGTATGGATATTTCTGTTCATCCAGGGTTTTTGGTTGTGGCATGTCTGAATTTTTATTGTGACTGTTGAATCTGGGTTTGGCAGATGCCAGGAGAACGCTACCTGCCCCAATGCATAGGGCCAACTGTAAAGTTTGGTGGAGGAGGAATAATGGTCTGGGGCTGTTTTTCATGGTTCGGGCTAGAGCCCTTAGTTCCAGTGAAGGGAAATCTTAACGCTACAGCATGCAATGACATTCTAGACGATTCTGTGCTTCCAACTTTGTGGCAATAGTTTGGGGAAAGTCCTTTCCTGATTCAGCATGACAATGCCCCCGTGCACAAAGCGATGTCCATACAGAAATGGTTTGTCGAGATCGCTGTGGAAGAACTTGACTGGCCTGCACAGAGCCCTGACCTCAACCCCATCGAACACCTTTGGGATTAATTGGAACGACGACTGCGAGCCAGGTCTAATCTCCCAACATCAGTGCCCAACCTCACTAATGTCCTTGTGGCTGAATGGAAGCAAGTCCTCGCAGCAATGTTCCAACATCTAGTGGAAAGCCTTCCCCGAAGAGTGGAGCCTGTTATAGCAGCAAAGGTGTGACCAATTCCATATTAATGCCCATGATTTTGGAATGCGATGTTCGACGAGCAGGCCATGTAGTGTACATGATCTGATTGGCCGATGTGGGGGTGGGGGATGGCTTTGTAAGCATCACAGATGTTTGTATATAATTTAAATGGTCCAGCACGTTGTTTCCTCTCATGGGGCAGGAAACATGTTGGTGATAGTGTATTTTAAACATGCTTGGTTAAAATTACTCATGACAATAAAGACTGCTTCCAGGTGTGAGGATTCTTACATTTACATTTACATTTACGTCATTTAGCAGACGCTCTTATCCAGAGCGACTTACAAATTGGTGCATTCACCTTATAGCCAGTGGGATAACCACTTTACAATATGTTTATTTATTTTTTTGGGGGGGTGGGGTAAGGGGGGGTAGAAGGATTACTTTATCCTATCCCAGGTATTCCTTAAAGAGGTGGTGTTTCAAGTGTCTCCGGAAGGTGGGGAGTGACTCCGCTGTCCTAGCGTCGTGAGGGAGCTTGTTCCACCATTGGGGTGCCAGAGCAGGGAACAGTTTTGACTGGGCTGAGCGGGAAATGTGCTTCATCCCCATTACCTGTTGCAGGTAAGATTCTTGCTGGCTAATGTTCATGTACAGTTTGCTGAGTGCCACCTTGGTGTTTGCTTGTGGCGCTATGTACACAGCTGTAATAATAACACACGTGAATTCCCTTGGCATATAGTGGGGTTGGCATTTTAGCATCAGAAACTCCAGGTCAGGTGAACGAGATGTTTTCAACTTTGGTAAACCAGGAATTGTTGATGAGGAAGCATACACCTCCCCCTGCTCTTACCAGAAGCCGCCGTTCGTTCCATACGGAAAATGGAAAAGCCGTCTGGTTGAATAGCAGAGTTGAGTCTCCATAAACCATCCCACTGGGCACAAACTGGTTGAATCAATGTTGTTTCAACGTAATTTGTCAATGTATTGTGACGTGGAATCTACGTGGAAAATACATTGGATTTGAAAACAATGATCAATAACCAGGTTTCCATCCAATCTTTTAATATTAGTAAAGTACATGTCGGATAAAGAATGTCACGACAGGGCGCACGTGCCAAGACCAGACTGGGCACATTTGCTATAGCCTATAATGCAACATTTTTTGTGGCAAAACCATCAGCAGAGTTGAAAATGCGATGGAAACCCATTTAACTTGTAACGGTAATTTTTATGTCCATTTGATGGAAACATCTTTGGTGGGAAATTGCGCATATTGTTTTTATGCCGATTTTTTATTTCCACATGAAATTCTGACGCCAATTAGATGGAAACCCAGCTAATGTAAACTGTTGTTTTGAGTGTGAAATTTCAACCACAGGATTATGCCATTATTGTAACCAATTTTCAACATAGACAAACTGTGTATAAAATATGTTGAATTTGTACCTTTGAAACAAAGTCTGATTTTCAACGTTTTATGTATATAAATACAACTATAGGCTGGGCAGCACCTCCTACTGGAGAGTCAATCTACAGCTATTCATTTGGTCTCCCAGCCAGAGTTTTAACCAAGCCCTGGCCTGCTTAGCTTTTACATTTTTCACTAACTACTACCAATGTGCTATCATGGCAATGATAATCAAGAGACCTCTTAATTCCTAAATATATTCACTGTTGCTATCAAAATCATTCCAAAGAGCAAATTAAATGTAACCATATTTTATAAATCATACATCAATTATACTATTTAGGCCTATATAGCATTTGCAAAGTCATCACCCACTATTGTTTCAACTCAAGCCACGGTTAAACTAAAAGTAGACAATACATATAATCTAGGCCTACTAGTGTTTCAAGCTTAGGAGTTAAAGAATAGGAGTAAGTCAAATTAAAGTACATTTAAAGTTTGATTATATTAGATTTAGTCCTATTCTTTAACTTAGATTTTTGTTTAAGATGGAGACGTGAATCCAACATATAAATTATTAATTTGTAGACAAACTGGATATTGAATTGTGTTTGGTTGTCAATGCAACCAAATATCAACATTTGCAGGAGATGTATCTTCTGCTTGGATAGTTCCATTTGTGCAACTGACTTAGTATGGCTTTAAATCCATACGTTGGATTCACATCTCCATCTCAACCAAAATCTAAGTTAAAGAATAGGACTAAATCAAAATAAACTTTAAATGCACTTTAAATAAAGTTTGATTTGATTTAGTCCTATTCTTTAACTTTGATTCTTGGTTGAGATGGAGATGTGGATCCAACATATACATGATTAATTTGTAGACAAACTGGAATTTGTTGAAAACCAAACACAATACAAAATCCCTTTTGCAATAGAGTAAATAGCCTATTAACTTGTCAACAAGTTAACAAATTATATGTTGGATTCACATATCCAACTAAACCAAAAATAAAAGTTAAAGAATAGGATTAAGCCAGTGGCTCAGATGAAACTATCCAAGCATTAGATATCCTTCAAATGTTTATATTTGGTTACATTGTCAACCAAACACAATTCAATAATATTTTTGTAAAACAGTAAATAGCCTAAAGTTAAGGCTATCTTACAAATGTATGTAACAGTAGTTATTCAACCTTAAAATGACTAACACATCCATGGCCACATTTTGAGGTTAGCCTACTGTAACTATAAATGTCTTCTTATGTAATCATAGAAAGTGTGCATGTTCAAGACAGCATGCAAAGGCTAGCAAGGTCTGTAGAGATTTCACAATTGCTGTAATCATCTGCACAGTATCTCAAAAGCCATTGATCACTTGCACTATGTACTTATAATGTAATCTCAACTGCAATCCAGGTCATTTGGTTGTGCTGTTAGATGAAGCACAGTGATAACACATTAAGTTGTTGTATAAATACAAAATATCTGCCATTGTATTCCCATTTGAACTTTGTTGTGCTTTTAAACGGTTGAAAGCGCAGCGACAACACATTTAGATGACAACTAAACCTAAATCAGACATTGTTGTTTTTCATTGGAATTTGGTTGTGCTTTTAGATGGTTGAAAGCATAGTGATAACTTATTGGGAATCCAACAACCTTCTGGCTGTCTTTTTGAGTTGGTGAATAAAGGTTGAAATCTCATTGATCAATGTCTCAACCATATATTACACAAATTTCCACGTTGAAATGACGTGGTGTGCCCAGTGGGACGTCTCTGTCAAAACAAAGACAGCATTCCCTGATGTCCCTCTGTGATTGAAGCCTTGCTCTGAGTTCACAAAGTTTATTTTCCAGCAATAGGACATTAGCCATCAGGATACTACGAAGAGGAGGCTGTGTAGCCCATCTTTTCAGCCTAGCTTGGAGTCCCCATTCCTCTTCTTCGTCACCGGTGTTGCCTTTGGTCATCTTGGTCAGCAGCAACAGGTAAGTCCGTGTGGGGAACAAAGGATGAATGTAGTATTCCAGATCTGGAATGCTGAGAGATAAGTATGTAGCTTCCGATTCATGATCCAGAAGTGTTTGTCGATTGTAGGAAATTATTGCACAAGGACTTTGAGCAAACAAAGTAAAGCAAAGTGGAGCAGGACTGTGTCATGGTGCTAGTGAGACAGACACTCACCTGTATGTTCACACTGAACACCTGCCGCCAGCAGGTCCGGCTCTCCTAGACTGATGTCATTGAGGCGGGTCCCCAGGCATTCGATTGACAGGGTTTTGAACCACTCCTCTGCTTCTAGCTCTGAGTTTAGACCAATGGGGATGCAGAGAACGACGTCATAAAATAGGAAACTTCATAGAGGATTGTGCACTGTGAGAAAACATCTATTGCAATACAGTAGGTGTGGTGTGGAGTACCTGAGTCACAGGTGAACGTGCGCGAGGTGTCATCGGTAAAGACGATGGCTACCGCCTGGCGCTTGGTGTCCCTTGGGAGCCTTGTTACATTCTTCACATTGCTGATCTCTGTCACCTAGGCAACATGAGAGGTCAAGAGGTCAGACAAACATGGAGAGAGGTTGAAAGGGTCAGACAAGCTGTCTAAATACTGTATGATGTGCTGCCGGTTGGTCGGATTCAGTTTTCAGAGAGAAAGGAGAGGAGAGGAAGAGGGAGTGTTGTAGCCAGGTGTAGTGGGGGGCGGGATGTTTTGGAGGTCACCCCATCCTCAGACACTTCAGAGAGGCCTGGTTTCTGGCTGGGAGTGGGAGGCTGGCTTTGATGTGAGCAACGTCTGCGTTACTCTCATCTCCTTCAGCCTCCTGTGTGTGTGTGTGTGTGTGTGTGTGTGTGTGTGTGTGTGTGTGTGTGTGTGTGTGTGTGTGTGTGTGTGTATTGATCCCTCCAGACATGCACGTTTGCACCCTGCAGCTGCACAGGGGGGCTCAGAGAACAGACTGACTGAATGACTGACTTTCTAATGCCACACACACACACACACACACACACACACACACACACTTACACAGCCTCAGATATATCACCCACTCACAGTAATACCATACGCACCACACAAAGACATCATCCTTCAAACTGACATTTGCCAATTGAAACGTGACTTATCATGCAGCACTCTCGGGGGGTACCTTAGGACAGACTCTGATGTAAGCTGACTTCTCATCAGTGTACTTCTCCAGTCTGCGTGGTCCTTTACTGGACGACTTCTTAAACACCAGCCAGCAGCGACGGTAAATCTGCAACACAAAAACAACAGTCAGTTAACATACTGCAACCAGCCACCCAACAGCAAGTCAATGTTAACATATCCACCCCATTCAAGCATAATGATTTACACTCTTTTGCTATCAAGAGCAGGCAAACAATGGTTGCCTCTGGTTTACCTGATCAATAAACCAGGAAGCATTATAAGAAAATCAAATAGCATTTAGTGATTAGCAATGAGTGACAGAGAGAGACAGAGAGAACAAGAGAGAAAGAGACAGGCAGAAAATGAGAAGGAGTGCGCCGGGTCCATGTCATCAGTCAAACATTATATATGCAAGACAATTCTATTATGCATATGATATTGAGTTAAGAGGCAGACAGAAGACACAAACTCTCCTGACGGAATAATGAGAAATCCATCGCAGTAATGCGAACAGGCACACAGAGAAACACACACACACACACACACACACACACATCAATAAGAGAGCTATTGCTTTAGCTGCATTTATCCCCCTTATCTCTGTTATAAAAGGCAGGGCCTTTATTTTATTGATGTTCCACTGTCCTTCTGAAGCAAACCTCCTGTTGCCAGGGCAACCTCAGGACCTGTACAGTACAGTACGGAGCGGCCAGGCCCAGCCATCCCTAAACCAATCCTCACATTCCTCTTTCCCTAACCCATTATCACACCCCTGTTTATTAGCTAGGGGCCACAGAGCCTGGGACAGTGAATCCCCTTAGCGCACTGACTCAGTTATAATGAATATAAAGACCCCAAACTGAGTGACAATGTCTCACTGCTGTTCACAGACAAACACCGGTGTCACTGTGACAGAGATAACAAGACCAATTAAATATGCAATTGTGTTTATCGAGAGATTAAACAAGAGGGCCATCAACAAAGGCACCCCATAATGTGAGCATGCTCAAATGGAGACATTGGTGAAGGGAAAAAGCGTTGCTCTGATGTGGCGTTTTTAATTGGTGCAGTGAATTTGAACCTTGAGGAGAGAGGAAGCCTTCAAAGAGACTGCCTTGGCTGCTCTATTGCCGTTTGTCTGTCTGCTCCTGGTGTGTCAGCGGGATGAAAATGCTACCTTCAGCGGGCATAGCTGACGGCGTGGTGAGAGCTGGTGCTCACCAGTCCATTATGTCTCAACGATATTAAGCTGTTCAATGGAGATTGACCTCTGTGTATCTGCCATCTAGCTCCTGATTCTCCACAATGCTATTCCAAACCAATTGGCTCAGTTCTTCATTGGAGCTGTGGTCTACTATCGTGCCCCCCTCCGTTCTCCCCCTCCCCCCTTCCTCCTCCCTCAGCTCCAGCATTCAGAGCAATCAGGCCTTGCCAGACAAACTCACTGTGAAGCCTGGTAATTAAGCTAGTGGGTGGAGGAGCAGGTAACAGAGAGGGTTAGACGAAAAAAGAAAGGGAGAGAGAAACAGAGGATATGGTAGACAGGGAAAGAGGGAGAGATAGAGAGGAGTGGGAGCAGTACATTCTGCTCCGATACCTTGGTATGAGGTTCATTGGTTCATTCAATATGAGGAAGTGATGGACGTCACATCGTTCAGAACTGGACTGAATAGTCATGTATTAGCCTACCTTTCTCCCAAAAATATACTTTGAAGCAATCAAAAATCAATTTCAGTGTCTCTCTGATCATGCCACCTCTACTGCTTTTACTATGTGTTCAGCAGCAGGAACAGCCCATCTAGACACACACACACACACGCCACCCTCCTCCTCCACCACCTCTGACTGAACACAGCAAACCCAAGGGCACAGGCCAGCCACCTTATCCACCTATGCTGTCACCAATTTCAAGGGTCTTTGTCCCCCAGAAGAGAGGAGCGATGCTCCCTGCCCTGTCGACACAGGCCTAATGCATTTTAAACAGACTGACCCAGCCACCCAGCCAAGTCAAAAAGCACAGGTCCTGACAGCGCCTCTACAGGGAGAATTACTCTGGCCACCACTGACAAACAGACAGAGAGAGAGAGAGAGAGAGAGAGAGAGAGAGAAATACTTTTTGTCCCCACCTGCAAAGGTGCATGTAACAATGAGATTTGTGGAGATGGTCTCCCATTGTATTCCAAATGTCCCTGCTCCCATGCCATTTCTGAACAGTGAAAAGGCAGTATTTTGTAGGTTGCAGTTGATATTCCAGGCAGGTAGACATGGATTCCTTGTTTGCATGGCTCTCTCCCCTGAGGTGGAGCTAATCCCCTGTAAACAGGCCGGGAGGCGTGGGCTGAGTGAGTGAGTGAGTGAGTGGGTGAATGAGTGAGAGCAAGAGAG